CGTCAGCTGACAGAGCTAACAGAATCTCCCTGTCAGCCTCTTACTATCTTACTGTTAGTCAGATTTATCATAGTTCCCCTATTTGTAGTTCCAAGTTAGTTTTTTTTTTTTTTTTAAAGAAAATGAGGGAAACTAACAATAATAATGAAGCTAATTATAATCTCCCCTCAGGGATCTGAACACGCTCCCGTGTGAAGCCTCTGTGAACCGGAGCTCTCTCAGCTACTTTAAAAAAAAAAGAGAGAGAGAGAGAGAGAAAAGAAAAAGACAGCAACAAAAGAAGAGACAGAAATAAAGACAAACAAACAGCAAAATAAGAGAGAAGAAGAAGAGAACCAGATATGTTTGGGTCCTCAGGATTTAAAAAATGTGAACAGTGCCGCGCGCCCATGCCGCCTGCAGAATGTATCCGGTGTCTGTAGGAAAATAGAGCCTCATCATCTCGCTCTCTTCCACCTTCCTCCTCCCCAAAACACAGCGGAGGAGAGGCACAGGGTAGTATGAGGACCTCCGCTAGCAAAGTGACTGGAAGATTCTCTCAGCACTGGGACCAGTGCGTGCTTCCTCGGAGCTGGCAGAAGCCCGAGAACTCTCTAAAGCTGCGGCTCCACTTAAAACCACGGCACCGCAAAAGAAAACGCTGCACTCTTTAAAGCTGGCAACGGGCATGATTCTACACCTGCACTGACAGCGAGCACAGGTAGGCAGCCAGATGAGGCTGCTCTAGAACTGCCTCAAGCTGCTACTAAAAGTCACAGCAGGCAGCAACATTCATGCCTGCCTTTTGCAGAGCACTCACCTGCAAGATCTTTATCTAGACATTCTCCACATACATCTAGGTCACCAATATCACTTCAGGAAAGCTCTTTACCTGACGATGACCGAGAAATTATATTCTCCTGGCACCGCACGTCGCCTAGGAGATCACGCGTATATCACTACAGGGCTGTACCACACCAAAGCCCGTGGCACCCATACTGGGCTTACCCACCCCCACCTTATCCACCACACTGGGGACCTTGGGACCATATAGACGCCGGTTCTCAGCCCACTCCATACCAGTGAGGAAAAGCTTGCCCCCGCCACGGTCCCTATCTCCCACAAAGGATTCAGAGGAGGAGGATGAACAAATTTCAGATAACCTGATGCCACAAGCAGTCGAAGCGGTTATACCGTCTGACACTGTGGCAATTGACGACCTCAAGCAAAATTCAATAATTATTGAAAAGAGTAGTGACAAGTCAACAAGTTTCTCTGCAAGAAGTACAGGAGAAACAGCACCGATTGTTAAAAAACTTACATCCCACATTACATGGCAAAATTACCTTACCAATAGATGAGGCAATCATGGAAACTTCAGAAGAACTGTGGAAAACACCTGCATCCATTCAACCCACTAATAAAAGGGTAGACATAAAGTACTTTGTTCCCCCAAAGGACAATGAATTTTTGTTTGCACGTCCACAAGTAAACTCTTTAGTTGTGGAATCAGCACAACAAAGATCTAAGCTACTGCAATACAGAACCGGCAACCAGGACAAGGACCACAAGAAGTTAGATTTATTCGGCAAGAAAATCCTCTTCTTCCACCTTACAATTAAGAATCTCAAATTATTCTGCTCTGCTAGCAAATCATGATTTTGACAGTTATTCTAAAGTAGGAGAACTGATGCAACATCTCCCTGAATCCAAAAGATCAATTTTTAAAGCAATAGTCCATGAAGGGCATACAATCGCTCGCACACCGCTCTACAGACTGCAATGGATATCGCAGACACCGCAGCCAGGGTGACAGCTATAGCAGTGGTAATGCGCAGGTTTTCCTGGCTATAGTCCTTTGGGGTTCCCTGTGAACTCCAACCCAGAGGAGAAGATTTGCCATTCGACAAACTAAAGTTGTTTGCGGCTACAAAAGCAGAAATTCTCCACAACAGCAAAAACTCAAGAACCACACTTCACATTTTGGGCATGTACACACCACTTTATAAATGGAAACAATACAACCGAAACAGATACGGGCACTAAAATCAACCACAGAGGCCAGGGCTGGCCTTACCATGAGGCGAACTGAGGTGGCTGCCTCAGGTGCCAGACTTTTGAGGGGTGGGGCCACCACTAGGACCCAGAGTGTAGAAAATTGTGTCTGCTGCTGGTGCATCTGTATTCTCTCTGCTCTAGATGCACTGAGATGGTGGGGTGCTGTGCTGGAGGAAGGAGGGCACAGGAGACATAAAAGGCAGGCAGGAGAAAAGATGGCATGGGGGTGTCATTTGAGCTCCCTGCCTCGGGTGCCAAAATGTTGTGGGCCGGCCCTGACAGAGGCCCTATGAATATAGCAGACCAAGGCAACGGGCACAGAGAAGGCACTCCAACCAAGGCTACCCTCCAAATACCCAGCCCTCAAAGCAGCAAATTCGAAGATGTGGTTGAGGGTCTGCAAGACCTCCCTCAAGATCTGATGCCAGGACAACACGGCCATCTCTTTACCCTCTGGTTATGTCTGTTCCTTCCACAATGTGAATCTATAACATCAGACCGCTGGGTTCTAGAAATAATTTGAGTAGGATATACCATCCCATTTACTACTGTCCCACCAACCTTATCCTCTACCCTGTCCGTCTTCAGGGACCACTCTCATGAGACCCTACTAAAATAAGATATTGATCGCCTCCTCACGATCGGAGCCATAGAAAGGATACTCAAGGAATTCCATGGAAGGGGGTTCTACTCAATTTCTTGACAGAGAAGAAAAATGGGTTTGAAGACCTTTTTTAGATCTCCGCAAACTGAACAAGTTTCTCAAGAAACAGCGTTTCAAGATGGTCACGCTCACAACGATCTTTCCTGTGCTAGATCAAGGGGACTGGTTCGCAGCCCTCAACCTGCAAGACACGTACTTTCATGTATCCATCCATCCATCTAGCACACAGACGCTACCTGCTTTTCCCTTGGACCAGAACATTTCCAATACGAAGTTCTCCCTTTCAGCCTTTCATCAGCTCCGAGAGTATTTTCGAAGGTACTAGCAGTTGTTGCCGCAAACCTCGGACAACAGGATGTAATCATATTTCCCTACCTAGACGGCTGCCTCAAAGGGATCATCACAGGATGAAACCGCCTCCATGATAAGCACAACCAGAGCCCTCCTCAGTCATCTAGGCCTTCTAGTCAACGAACACAAATCAACATTGCATCCAGTCCAAGACAGAGTTTATTGGCGCACACCTGAACTCAATCACAGCTCAAGCATACCTACCTTAGCCATATTTTACAACTATACAAGAAATTATAAACATGATATTTACAACCTCTACCACCACGATACTTACCTGCCTCCAGCTAATGGGCCACATGGCTGCTACTACTTACGTAGTCACATCTTGAAGAACACTTGTTATTGCACAAGGTAAGTAATTACCTTATTTGAACAATCTTTACATCTCACTTATGTGTTGGTTTCCCATTTTGTGATCTTTAATTTTTAAAGTGTCATTTAGCAGTATTAGGTGCCAGGGAACTCAAGTTCCAGCCAGTGACTTCTTCCAAGCACCCAGTAACCCTTGCCTCCCCCAAGGTATATAACTCTTTACATACAATATCACAGTTCTGTATAGAAAGCATGCCATGTGAGGTATCAGTAAAGGTTATGAACTGTTCACCCAGGGACCTACAATGTCTCATCTCCATAAGGCCACACCAGGAGAATTGTTAAACTTTTCTTGGGGACTCGGCCATGCCCAGCAGATATGCTCAGACTTGTATTCTCCAAAGTTGGAAGCCTGCAAGAGTGCTAAGCACTGTTTCCCCTTCTCCTGCCCTCTTCTCCCCCAAATTCAGAGGGCACTGAATGTTATGAATTATATAGGAGCAGGTTATTCCAAAGCAACAGGCAGCTGCAACTGATCCACCCCTAAATTAGAGTGATGTGTACACTACAGACCTAGGTCAACATACTGTGGTGGTGCACATCCTCATCAGGAGCATTTTCACTGACTTAAGAGGGGCAGGCTGGGGAGTTGAAAGCCCAGCTTCCTTTCAGAAGAGATGGGTTTCCCCACCCCACCAAGAGTGGGGAGGGGGGAATAGGCTGGAGCTTCTCATCTCTTCCCCTCCTCCGCCAAATCCCTAACTTTGCCTGCTCTGCACAGGGAACGGGACAGTCTTATCAATTTCCTGGGTGCCCCAGCCATGAAATTGTCAAGGCTGCCTGACAATAGGTAGGAGACTTCTTGCACTGGGTCTCAGCAGAGCTCAGTGTTCAAAGAACCCACCCCACCCCACCCCCACTGTCTTCTCAGTTTCACAGCAGAAAATGTGAATGACCAGCAAATATAAGGAACACAGTGTCTGCACAGGCAGTTTTTGCTCCTACCTACACCACTGTAAGGCCATCTCTCATGGCAGTGCAGTTACTATGTCGGTATAATAGGGCACTTACATCAGTAGTAGGAAAGCTGTAGTGTAGGGAGTGACATTAGGCAGCATATGTTTACCTAATTACGTTGACCTACCTGTGTAGTGTAAGACTAGAAGTAAGGTTCCCACAAAGTTACACATTTGAAAGCTTTCCCACTAGTTGGTGTCTACACATTTTAAGGGGGTACTGTCAAGTTAAATCACTTAACATTTTTCCATGGTGTTAAAAACTTCATACTATTTGCTAATAATTCTACTTTGAGTATGCCATCTTTGTCCATGCAAAGATAGTTTGCCTTCTAGCACACAGGTTTGGGTTTAAACATTCACATGCAGTGTTATACATTTAAGACTAACCAATAATTTTTTTTTATAACAGCCTGTCCAGTCATACATGAATGTTAGTTCATTTGAGTAAATTAGATTTGAGTTATTCCTTCAATAAGTCCCCCTCTCTGTTCTTCATTTGGCACTACTCAGCTGACCAACGGCAGAAGAACCTTGCAGAAAAACAATTCGACTATAATGGCTGCTCGAAGGAACTGAATGTGTTTTGCTGTAGCGCAAAAATGACACAAGGTAAATGACAGATTAATTGTTTATATTGTAGACTATATAAATGTGCTCTAAATTAAACATGAATGATTATTTTACAGTTTCCTTAAGGCATACTTGGTTATGCAATGTTAAATCATTCTTAGATGCTATAGTTGTTCCCCCCCCCTTAAGCTCATTACATATCCTTCACTTTGTAAATATGTACATCTTTTCTATTGACCAACGATTGCCAGCAGCAAATTCCTGTAGTCCCCACTTGTATCACTTGATATCATTGTAGCCAAAGTCTTCTGGTACATCTGTGTGAACAACTGTTTGATTTGTACAAGATCAATCTGTGTTAAAGAAATAAGATACAAAATAAAATTTCAGAGGGGTAGCTGAGTTAGACTAACAGAAAAAACTTAAAACAACAAATAGACTAGCAGCACCTTAAAGACTAACAAAACATGTAGCTGGTGGTTTGAGCTTTCGTGGGCACAGCCCACTTCTTCAGATGACAGGAGTGCTAGAAGTCCAGATCCAAGAAACATTGAAGATCTTAGATCTGGACTTAACACTGCTGCCATCTGATGAAGTGGGATACCAGAGAAATAAGACAGGCATGAAATACTTCCAATGTAATCAGTGCACAGTATGGGGTAAGTCAGTAGTAGACTGAGTCCTCTTGTGCTTCATTCCCTTGTACCCCATAGCAGACCAGACAATGCAAGCAAGGAGGCAGGAGGTGCACCTGATATATGACATCCTCTCAAGAGCTATACAAAGGGTATTATGTCAAAGCTGCTCCTACCCTCTTGTCCTTCCTGGTAGTTCTGAGGGTAAATGAGTCTTGCTAGTGCCAACACTTCAGTCAAGCTCTATGCAGATACTGATTCCTATCCATGGACAGAAATTTGTATCTGCAGGGGCAAAGGAAAAGAAGGTGCTGCTGCTTCTAGGAGCCAGTGCCCTGAGGCTGTACTATGCCTACCAGGGCTGATAACCTAACAGGACATGCAGCCATGTGGCAAGGCCCTATGCTGCAGCCTCTTGGAGCAAAGGTCCATTCCTCGCCCTCTTGTTGATGCTTTAGTGAGATGAAAATCCTCTAGGCCACGTCAACAGGAGACACATCAGGATCCCTGCCCATTACACTAAACAGGTTCATCACTTTGAAACACGAAGTAGCAGAAGAGTCTTTCAGTGAAATAACTCCTATATTACATATCAATGGAGGAGACTTGCACCATTACCCATGTCTCAGCCAGGCTTTGTGAGGAAGACAATGCATACTTCCCGACAGGGAGACTCCCCCCACAAAAGACACATAACAGGACTCAAAAAGCATCGCATCTCATCTCACTTAAATGCTAGCACCATCCTCACAAGTCTGGGAGCCTCTACTTCATCATAACATTCAGAAACACTGAGTTAAGCTTAACTACTATCTGGGTTTGAAGCAATGAGAAGGAAGGAGACAGCCACCAAACAGGCTAAGCAAGCTCAATTGCCTCCAATCAAACACTGAAGAACTTTCCTAGTAGATGTGCATTGGTAACAAATGGACAGGTACTCCTGGGGGAGTACTGCAACATTGCACACAGCAGACTTTTGCAGGAATTAACATGTGTATGTAGAGTTTCCTTTCCCACACAGCAATTATCTGCATGTTGCTGGTCACCATGAGGGGGCTGCTGGGCCTGGCAGGGGAGAAGGCAGAGAAAGGAACTGGGCTGTCATAAGGGGTTCTTGCTCTCCTTGGAGAATTGCACATCTGTATTGATAGACACTTGCTGAGAGTTTGAAATAAATTATCAAACTAATTGCGAGTGGGGTGGTAATGTATGTAGTGTTGACAAATAACATTTTAGCAAGGGTCAGTAACCTTTTCCAATCTTCACCTGGGCAGTGCTAGGCTGCTGCACCAAGACAGGACAAGGTGCCAGGCCAGAATTGCTGCAGCCAGATCATGGCCTCCCCTCCTAGCCATGCTGTAGTAGGAGAGGAGCTGTTACCAGCCCCAGGATCAGGAGCAGGGGGACAGGATGCTGTAACGAGATGGGGGCCAGGCCTCATCGTAAATAAGTAAAGTATGTCCAAAATAAAAGATTTCACCATTGTCTTTATTGATGGCAGAGTTGGGGGCCCACACACACAAAAAGCAACTAAAACACCTCACTTTCCTAGTGTTCCAACCACATAGGGGAGAGAAGGGGCAGGAAGGACTGAGGATCAAGGGTTAGTGGATTTTGTCTAGAGCCTAGGGGGACCTGAGTGGAGCCAAAAATGAGGGGTTAGTGTGCAGTACAGGGCAGCCAGCAAGTGTGGATAGAGGTGCAGGAGAGAGTGAGGGTGCAAGGTCTGGTCAGGAAGAAGGGTGCAGGAGGCGGCTAAGCATGAGTGGAAGCAGGGGCCCATTTGCTTTCATGCCACTCCCAGTATCATGTTCCAGGCACTGCTTCTTGCTGCTTCCATTGGCAAGATTCCAGCCGCTGGGCGTAACAGAGAAAGCCTCCAGGCTGCCCGGCCCTGCACTGCCATACCCTAGCCACAGGACGGGGAAGCAGCAGCATGTGCAGCACCTGCCAGCTGTGCTTCTTCCCTGCATGCTGACTCTTCCTCCCCCCAAGGAATCATGTGCTGGTGTTCTAATCTTGGGGGAGGAGGACATGAGGCTGAAGCAGTAAGTTTGAACTGCAGAAGAGCCACATGTGGCTCCTGACTGAGCCATATTTGGCTTTGGAGTGTACAGAATTTTAAAAGGCTGGTATTGTAGGCAGAATGCCTGTGGAACTCCTTGCCAGAGGATGTTGTGAAGGCCAGAATTTTAACAGAGTTTGAAAGAGAGCTAGATAAAATTGATGGAGAATAGGTCCATCAAGGCTACTGGCTGAACAGGCAGGGATGGTGTCCCTAATCTGTCAGAAGCAAGGAATGGGTGACTTGAGGGAAGGAGAGTCTAGCACTTCATTACCTGTTCTGTCCATTCCCTCTGGAGCACCTGGCAATGGCCACAGTCAGCAGACTATCAACCTTTGCTCTGACCCAGTATGGTCATTCTTATGTACTTTAATAGACTTCTTTGTGAATATTTGCAAGTAAATTTGTGCAGCTGATTCTCATAGTAAGAACTATAACTGCATTGATTAATTCTGCTCCATGTAAGTGATACGAAGCATAAAAATGGTTAGGATACACTGATTTTTCACTATGTGACGTGAACAGCCAACATTTTTTAAATTCCTGCTTCCTCCTCATTTTTTGAAAACAAAAAGGAAGATTCTTACCTCACTGCGAGTGACGACAATTCTGACAAGCGTAGAGTCATCTGTGCCAGCTCCTTTCATGGAATGGTAAATCCTGTCAGCAAAGAAGGCTGGGCGATTTAGAGCACATTGCACTAAAAGAAAGCATAGTTACAGGATTCTTTTAAATAATGCACACAGGCAGGCACTTTTCACATGGTTGTATTTTACAGAATTAAATACTTGATCTAGCAGATGGTATCCTGAATGTTTTGAAACAGATTCTCTTACTGCTTTGATTCTTCCTCATGCCAAACCTGGGCAGGTCACAGCTCAGCAATTGTGTTTGTTGGGTAAGTTATATTCTACGCATTTCATCTTATTTCCTTGATGTTTGGAAACATGACTATTTTGTTACTGAATCTTTCAGTTTAAGCCCTGTTGTTATACTGGTTAAATACACACTGTTGGTGGATATGAAATTAAGTTCCACTAAGCGTGGATCCATTTTTACACAGCTTGGAACACAGGATACACCATCAATGTTAGTTGGCCAAATCACTGTATAACTCAGTTCAGCCATAAAGACAGCACTTTTGACAATTAAAGAAACCTTAATTCAATAACAAAACTAATGTAAGGGGAAACTTAATTCATTGGGTAATTGGTATGGAGACAAAGGCTGTAAAATCACCATTAATCAGTTAACAGGTTAAACATTAGGTAACCTAATGTTAACCGACTTAGCAAGATGCTCATTAGGTGGCCGGTTACCCATTCACATCCCTGACACTCAAAAGATTTTTACCTCTTGCTTAAGTATCAATGGAAAATTACCACCATCCACTGGCTGTGAAACATCTCTGTTCAGTCCTTACTGGATAGAGCTCCACATCATAAGAATGCCAATTAACAGGCCACCATTAATTTCAATTTAAAAAGTTCTCTCAATAAGCACTGATCTTTTAACAGTGTTTCAAATGGAGCAGAGTTTAGAAGGGCTCTGTATAGCAAACCTGGAGCACCAACATCAAGGGTGGCTGGAGGAAGGTCACCACCTTGCATCAGTGGCTGATACAAAGAAAGAATGGATTCTACAAAAGACCAGCAGTTTGGGGCTTTCTAAACTTTGAGAATCCTTTTTCAATAAACAATGCCAAATCCATCATGCTAAGGGCTCTCCCCAGCTCAGCGCTGTGAAAAATTTGTCACAGATGGTAAAAATGATTATTGTAGGGGAGGGGCAGAGCTGGGGACATCCCAGACTAGGTTCCCACTGCTAGTCCTGGCCCAGGCTCGGGAGGAACAGCCTCTTTCTATGACGGGCCATGCCAAAGCCAGGTCAGACCCACTTCTTGGAACCAACCCCAGCTGCAGGAAGCTCCGTGGCTGCTGGCTGGGACGACAACTGACACAGGCAGGAATCTGCTTGAACAATCCCGAATGAGGGAGTTTGCTGGACCAGGAGAAGTCAATTCTGGTCCCCCTGCCACTGGTATCCCAACCCAGCTGTGTTCCCAGCCCAAGCCACTCCCTCACCTCACCACCAGCTCTACTTCCAGCCCTTGCCAGCCTGGCTGGGCTGCCGGATGCGACTGCCAGCTTGGCCTCCCTGCCAGGCTCCCGAATACTTCCAGTTTAGAGAAGTGGAACATGTAGCTAATTTGTTTTGAGTTAATTGCAGGTATTGACTGTGCTTAATTAATAGCCCTAAGATCTTTACATCTCCAATTAGTCATAAATACCATTTTTAAAAGCAAGAAAAGTCTGTTACCAATAGTCTTCAAGCCATCTTCTACATTTCCAGAAAACTCCCGGCCAATGCTGCTCAAGAGATCACGATTGGCAATCTGCACATAACAGTTCAAGGGATTAGGGGTTTTCTTGTTTCAACGTGTGGGGATGGAAATGGGGGCAAATTCAGTCCTGGGATATGCAGAGCAAACTCATTCAAAGTGAATGGAGTTTCACGTGTTTTAACCCCAGGGTTGAACTTAGTTCATAATCATGAATAGAAGATTATGAACAGAAGAATTTCTACCTGAGAATATGCTTCAACTGTAGCTTTCAGTTGGGGGAAACTTCTGGTTGCCAGAATCATGTTAAAGCAAGACTCATCGGTTCCAAGCTTCCCTTCACCAGCTTGATAGAGGCGCTGAGCATCTTCCTGAGCTTTCTGGTAGTTCACAGATGGATTCTCATCCCTGTTGCCCTGCAAGAGAAGACATTAGCTGCTGAATCAGTAACAGAATTTTGTGTTCCTTAGCATCTCTTACAGGCTTACCGAAAGGTCATCTGGTTCAAACCGGGAAATTAAACCGTGAAATCCACTCTTTCTTGGCAGCTGTTTCCTTAACTGGAGGCAGGATGGACATGTACAGGACCAGGAGTCAGAACTGCAAGCCTATCTATCACCCAGCTCAGTCAAAGACACACTATGACCCCCCCAAATGTTTTTGTACTCCTTTGTAAAAGGAGAGTTCTTCCCTTTATTCAGCTTTGCTGCTAAGAGGAGTGCCTTAGTTATTTGTAAAGTGCTTTGATATCCTCAAATGAAAAAAGTCATATGGAAGTACCAAGTATTATGCGTATTGTGACATATGGTGATTGCTCCAAATCTCTGTCCACTCAGCCATAGATTGTCCTAAAATAGCTGTTTGGCTATAGCATATTGGAATTCTGAATTCAAATGTATTTCAGGCTCTTCAGTTATTAGAAATGGAAGACAAGACATACTCATTCGATCTTGAAAGGAAGTAGGTATTAAATTCCTTCTAGCTGCCTCTTATGAAGAGGCATATGCAGTCTATTTTCACTTTTCTGCCTCATCCTGTGCTTTTAAGTGGCAATTTGAAAAACATGCCTTTTCATTTATAGTGATTTCTTATAAGGTGAACATAGAAAAATGGCCTGAAACTGTCCACAGAGCACAACTTAAAAACCTTAAGTCATCTGGGTCAACAGCTCTGTAACTTGGAATTGTCTCACATTTTAGCCCCTGCAGCTTATTAATATTTAAGCAGAAAACATGGGCTAAATTTTCACTTCATTTTTTCTGCTTCTAGCTCCACTGGTTGCAAAAAGACCCTTTCAAACATCAATGAATGCAGCATTGTTGACTTTACAGAGACAGGCAAAAATCCCCAGAAAATATCTGTGGTCGTTAATGGCAGCTCTCACAAGGTGACATACATTCAGGCCCACCGGTGGGGCAAAGGGGGCAGCTGCCCTGAGGCCTGATGATTCAAAATGGACTTGAGGCTCCCAGCTGCTGCCACCTCTACTGCCAGATAACAGAGCCTGGAGCCCCAGGCCCTTTAAATCACAGCTGGAGTGCTGCACTCTGGGCAGCTCTCAGTGCTTCCTGGGGAATGGGGGGTCAGGATGGCATGCACTGGGCAGCGCTGAGGGCTGATTGCCCCAGCCCCACCCCTTGTGGGAGGCCCCATCTCTTCCATGAGTGCAGCGGGGCCCCCGGATACACTCATGATGTCATTAAAGTGGAAATGTCAATAACTGTAAAACAGCTAGGGTCAACAAGACAGACATTTGCTGTCAGAAGAGGTGAGGAAGGGTATCAGTGTGTCTGAGACTTTATGGAACTGCAACAAGGGAAGCATCCATTTTCATCAACCAAAGAGGGGCGTGCATTTACCCCTGCCCCCCCTCCCATTTTCCGGTCCTACAAAATGCAACACTGCTAGGAGTACAAACTACCACAGGACATGGCTTGCTGGCTTATAGCCAGTTGGGGAGGGTCAGATACCTGCCATGTCTGTGGAAGATATTGGTACTACTAACACTGAAAAGTGCCCAGTGCATCAGTACACTACATACGTCACACAATGGGCAGGCTCCCTGGCCCAGCTGAGTTCAATGATAGTTGCACTATCTGCATGGCGCACATAAGGGTATTAGAACAGTTGGAAGACTGAGCGGAAAACTAACACTGAGTGGCAGTGAGTTTTAAGCTGAATGCCTACTTAGCACACTCCCTTGGATTCTCTCAAGTCTTCTATGTATTACAACAGTCATATTAGGAGATAGTTTCTGGGACTTGTGTTTCAGTACACGATTCCTACTTTGTGCCAAACCATAGTTTGGTCTTACATTGTAAGAGGGACTGCACCCTACTAGAACCATGTTCTTGAATGATAGAAGAAGTCCCCAGACTCCAACATAATTCAACACAGGTATGCAGGGGCAAGATTAGAAAGGCAAAGGCACAAAACAAGCTAAATGTGGCTACGCATAAAGGGTAACAAGAAGATGTTCTACAACATGGGTTTCCAAACTGGGGTGTGCTGAAATTTCAGTGGGGGCGCAAGGCGACCCAGCCACACATACCTCCGTCAATCCCACCCTAAGTTTTGCTGCTTTTTTTTTGTGGAAGGGGGGCATGAGGGTTTGTCAAAAATCAAAAAGGGGGCGTGATGCCGAAAAGTTTGGGAACCACGGTTCTACAAGTATATTAGGAGCAAGAGGAAGACCAAGGACAGGGTAGGCCCACTGCTCAGTGAAGAGGGAGAAACAATAACAGGAAACTTGGAAATGGCAGAGGTGGACATTAGGAAAAACTTCCTGTCAGGGTGGTTAAACACAGGAATAAATTGCCTAGGGGGGTTGTGGAATCCCATCATTGGAGATTGTCTAAACTGCTCTTAACTGTCAGGGATGATCTACACAGTGTTTGGTCCTACCATGAGGGTAGGGGACTGGACTCAATGACCTCTTGAGGTCCCTTCCATTTCTATGATTCTAGAGTACTGTAGCAGTCTAGATAGGAACAAGTTATGGTGCAAGACCAAACACCGTGATTTAAAGGCATTCATCATGCCTATAGTGCTGTAACTGGTTCACTCAACTCAGTAGAAATTCCTGGGTAGAAGGTACTTTTCTTTCCAACCTCAGGGCAACCTTATGTTGTCAATCTGCTATAAAGACATAGTCCGGTGCCACATAACTACTTACAGAAGCTGGCTCTGATTAGGCATACACAGACAGTTCATTCGGATAATCTCACAATACTATTCTTCAAACTATAAAAACATGGCAACTCTTTAGAACCAGTTTTTGTTAACTGTAAGCATCAGATATGGAGCAATAACTCACTCCACTCTGCATTTTGTACTGTAACAGCAGCTTTGGTTACCTTACAGCTTTAGTTTCCCAACAAACTCAGCATTGTCCAAAAAAGTGCCCTGTGGCTCACCTGGCACATGGATACAAGTAATCGTTCAAAGTGTCCTGAGGTATCTGCTCTAATATCCTGTTCAATGTCTCTTCCAAATTCCGTTTTGTAAGTCCTGACTATGTTTTGAATTTCCTGGTTCGTCCTCGTACAAAGAATCTCAATCAACACTCTCTCCTGAGTGCCTGCTCCCTATAGGAAGAGAAAGAGAAAATATTAATGCAACAAAATCTACTTACCTATCTTCTTTACAATTTTCTGTGACATTATAAAAATCAACTGTTACTTTTACTGTCAGTCATTCATTACATTTTGCAACCACTTTTTAATGTTATCTAAATTGAAAGAACAGCATCTGTGCCTCCCTTCTCATAATTCTAAATCCTCTCTGATCTCTAACGCAAAATTTAAGATGTGGGCTTGAGGTTGTTTTTTTGTTTAACAACTGTTGAGTTAGTAGTTGTGAGAAACAGAGAGCATGAACAATGGGCTGAGGCACAGTCAATTAGAGAAAAGGACAATTTGAGAGAGGAAATTAATATTCTTAACCATTAGTCGTAAGGGACGTCGAGAAGTAATCTAGTCCCACCCCTTGTGCTGAGGCAGGACAGTTGTTGGTCTAATCTGTTCTTAAAGCCCTCCAATAATTCGGATTCCATATCCTCCTTTAGAAGTCTATTCCAGTGCTTAACTATTCTTAAAGTTGGAAGGTTTTTCTTCATAGATACCCTACATTTCCCTTGCTGCAGATTAAGCCTATTACTTCTCATCCTACCATTAACTACCTTATTTTATATTGTGAACTAACAATCCCCTTCTAATACGTACTTTGAAACAAAGTATGACTTACTAAATCAATATTAGAAACAGAACATGTGTATTACGAGTAGTTCCCCATTCCACATGTAGCATCTCCACTGGCATAAGTGGGAGCGTCATTAATATGCCCCTTTTTAATCCATACAAAAAAAACCCACTACATAGCAAATTGTGCTACAGGCCTTCTTCGCTATGCCTAGACTGCAGAGCTTTTCTGGGATACCAGAAAAGCGCTGCCGCGTCCAGGGAACATGTCCGCTTTTTTGGAACAGTTTCTGAAAAAGCAGGCGCGTTCTTTCAGCATCCCTGTATTCCTCTCAGTGAAAGGAATAAGAGATGTTCCAAAATAGGGTTTTTTTTCCCAAAATTTGGCCCAACGTAGATGGATTAAATTTCAGAAAAACCTCTTCTGAAGAAAGAGCAGAAAAAGATTACAGTTCACAATTTGAGTATCTTTTTCCGATATAACTGCAGTCTAGACGTAGCCCTTTTCATAGTCACCCTTATCCCTCTGCCTTTATTATTTAGAAGGCTAAGCTCTTCATGGCAGGGGCCAGTTCCTACTGTTTGTAGGGAGCTTATCACAATGTGGGGAGGAGGGGGAGATGTCTGATTAACTGGAGTAGGCAGAGCCTCTGTACCATAAGAGTAAATCAAGGACGTCTCTTTCACCGGCCCTAAAACACATCTTATTGAACCCTATGCTGTTCTGTAGAAATGTATAATTTATTATCATCATCACCACCACCAGCTCACGAGTTAAAAATGGAATTTCTCAAATATTTCCCCTCATCTCTATTAACATCTTAACAGCACGAACAATTTTATGAAAATTCACTAACCCCCAAGTGACAAAGCATTATTACATTTTTGAGAAGTCACTCACAGAAAGATACTCTGTTATCCTTAATGCAGTTTTACTTTGTTCCTTTCCACCCCCCACCCTCCCCCAGGTGTATGTATATGTAAAAAGTGCTGATTCACAGGATCTAATCTGTATCTTTGTATGCATACAGGAAAATAATGAATTGCATACTAATTAATTTGTGATCCTAAAAATGATAAAATGGTGCTAGTGCTGCCTGATGGTCAGTACCTGAAATAGGCTTTAAAATACCAACTGCAAATTAATGAGAATAGTTTTAATTTCTCTGCATTCCACAGAAGGAAGGGTTTTGACCCTTTTCATTTCACAGTGGTGGTGGGGTCATCAACAGATGGAGTTTTTCCTGAAGCCTCACTTACCTATTCTGTGAGCAGACGTTCTAGCAACAATGCAGCCTGGAAAAGCAATCTAAAAGCAGTGAAAGTGTAAGAGTTGACTTCCCATGTCACATATTAATTGATCTTGGCTCTTTAATATGACCACTTAGAAGTTTCCTGTTCTGCAGCTATATGGTAATCTGTATAGACAGCTAGAAACTATAAGTAAACGAATTTGGATGCTGATATAAAAGTTACTGAAATGTCCAAAACCCAAGAAGTTCAAAACCATTTCCACCACTGTTACTTTCTACTGACTTTGTTCATAAGACTTGCCAAAAGGACTCTACACTCAGAGCGGTCTTAAAGATTTGGGACTAGTCAGCAGTTACCAAAATTGTCACGTCTTGTAAGATAGGAGGTGTCTAATTTAGCATTTTATTCATGATAAAAATACCTTCATTGCATGACGTAAACTCCAGGCATCATAATAGGTAGGTGGCATGAACAAGGCTAGGATCAGTTCTTCCATGTTTCCACTTAGTTCAGACTTCAGATCTTTAATTAAATCCTATCCAATTACAAAAAGAAGTAAGAGGTTCACATATGTAGCACATGAATAGTGTGATAATTAGGAAGGGGTTGAAGACGCTGTAGTTAGATGTTCAGATTTGCTGGAGGTTTTAGGCTGGGGTTAGTGTTCAGGTGACCACTCTAGGCATTAATACTGCTTATTTAAACTGCTGTAAACGACAAGCTGTCTACGCAAGATTTTAAGAACAAAATGGCAGAAGTATCACAAAATTAGCTGATTTTTCAAAAATTCCATTATTTTAATGAAAAGGATGCGACATCGTGCAACATCTGCTCTGATAGAATGAGAAAATAGGGTTGTTTGAATTCTGGATCCAGAATTCAAACAAACTCTGCTCCCACAAAATTCAAAAGTTGTTTGGATTAGAGGTGGCAAAACTCCAAGCTGTATATTTTGATTATGTACTAAAAATAAGCTAAGTCTTGGTCTGTTTTTCACGTTAGTTTCAAATACCACATGGCTTTTATTCTTTGGGACAAAGTATTGTAGTGAAGTAACATTAAGTAAAATATACAAATTGTCATTTCACTGCTGGATAGCGCCATGGTCCTGCAACAAAGCAGCTCTGTAGCTATTCAGGTTCCATCTACAGCACTCACCCTCAGCTATACACTTCATGACTGGTAAATTATTGAAATATACACGGTCATCTATCTGCCTTCCATCTAAAATCGGATACAGGGCTGCCTTTGCTAGTTTATTATGTCCTCTCAAAAAGGAAAGTCAGCCTATAGAATTCCTGTCACAGCTGAACCTGTGCTGTCTCCGAGTTGCATCTGTTGGTGAAAGCTGTATTGAAGATTGAATAGTTCACCCATTAATTAACAGAGACCTTGCTCATCTTTACAAGTGTCACATCTAACCTCTCCAATTCTGACAGACTCCAGGGCTCTTCTTAACTGAAGGCGCTTTATCTTTAATAAAGAAACTATTATCAATTTCTAAGGCTACTTCTGCACTGGCTAATGAATGACAACACCTTTATCATTCAGGAATTAAAATGACACTCCCCCAAAAGTCAAAAGTTTTGCCTTTGACAAATGTCTATGTGAACACACTTTGTCAGTAGGAGCGCTCCCCTGAAAAACAAAGCTAACACCACTCATTGTGGGTGGAAGTATTTTGTCAGCAAAAGAACCAACGCACAAGCTATACCATGCAACTTTTAGTGACATGGCTGAGAATACAAAGTTTTCAACACGCTGAATAAACACTACTTTCTCCTTCTGAATTAATTAGGTTAATTCACTGATAGCAGTGGGGTCATAATTGTTCTAATTCTCCAATTGCCCATAGAATCTTTTAGGAAAAACAGGGTAGATAAAAAACTTAATCTCAACCATAAGACATGTAGAAACATGTGTTCTTCCTTAAAATCAAATACATTTGGGCCTTCTTTATTGTTCAAAAAAGACAAATCAGCACAGACCCAATTTTATTTTAAAATGTGTTATCTAATCTTATCATAGTACTCCAGTGAGGCTTAATCAGTGCTGCTTAGAGATGAATTATTTCACTTGGTTTATTCATTTCATATTGAAACTAACATATTCTAATACCTGCTTGAGTGCAACAGTTTTATAGAGTTTGCTTAAACCATCATAGAGCAGTATCTGAGTTATACAAGCTATGTTATCACCACCTCTAATAGGTCAACCTCCATGGTCAATTCCTGGTTCGCATTTGGTACAAAATTCTATTTACTTCTGTAGTAGTTCTGGCTGAGTAAGGACTGTAGAGAGACTGTCTCTCTACTACGTAAATAGTTTTTCAAGGAACACTTTACATTGATTCTTGCTAATTTTATTATATTGATTTCAGAATTTCTTTCCAGTTAATTAAGAACTTAGTCTGTATTTTAATATTAGCTACCAAAGTAGTCTATGTGTCTTCCACCGAGGTCTAATTTGAATTTGATTATGTTCTGCCCTTCAAATAATAAAAATAAAGGAAACCATGTTTGGTTATGGAAAGACACTACTTGAAGAAATCCTGCCAATTTGTTAGGGTGGTATTGAAGTTCCCAAAGCTACTGGCAGAACAAGAAATGTAGCTAAATATATACAGAAATGTAAAAAACAATTGTCAGGTGAATTCCATCTGGGACTAAAATACCAGGTATCACTGTCAATTTGTTTATTGGTTAGAAGAGCAATCAATGTACATACCTTGCCATACATAGTCTTGAAAGCAGCCTTAATTTTTTGCCTTTGATCGTTGGAGCGATTGGCCACAACATTAATGATAGCCTGCTCATCAGTTCCTAGGAAATAAAAAGTCAAGTAGTAAAAACATATTCCTCCAAAATTGTCAAAATTCTGAAATTGTAAAATGAACAAGTACGATGTTTATTTGTCAATGATTTGTGTGTGTGTGTATAAAATAAATACACTTACAAGGGTAGTTTTCAAAAGCATCAGGAGAGAATTAGGAGTCTTTATATAGAACTATAAATATTTTACCGATGGGTAAAATATCTATTTTCAATTAGAAGAAAAGGAAATTGCCTTTAACTTCTTGGCTCAATGAGCATTAACTCTGTAGTAATCACTAAGTATAAATCTCCTTCTTACCAAATCCCTTCATAGCTTTGCGCAGTATTTCGGCATCCCTCCCGGCATCAAAGTTGGGCGCCGCTTGAATTGTGCCCTGGGTACTTTGAGTCATTGCTGTGGGCTAAGAATGAATGAGTTATGCATTATCAGTCAATGTATATAATGCAAAGTATTAATGTAATGTAGCATTAAACTTTACACTTAATATTTCAGAGAGAGAGAGAGAGAGAGAGAGAGAGAGGAGGAGCTCGTCTACTTTTCCCCCCTTGGAAGGGGGGGGGGGGGCTCCTAATCAAGTTAGGAAGGCCTTGTATTGCAATGAGCAGTCTTAGTCCACTAGTGCCACATTAACACTGCTTTGCACAGTTGCATTGCTGAGGAGATGTTCTGAATGCAAACTCAGCGACAAAACTTCTTTCCAATACATATTGCTGATCTCCAGGGGGCATTCTGAAGTGCAGCACTTCCACTGAAGTCAGTGGGCTTTCCAAACAGACCACATGCAGAATACTGAAGAAAGTTTCTATGTGGCTCAAAGACGACCACGTGACTTGCTTTTAGAAACGTTCTATGCAAGAAGGAAAGCCAATAGAGTACAGATCCTTTCACAAGCACACAGCCTAAGTAGCTGCCTTGTGCACTGGAGTTTCTGTAGGGGACTGACAGAAAAGAAAATCTCTCTCAGAGCACACTGCATCTGCTATGCTACTAATTCCCTTGTCTGGCCATGTCAGCCACCATTCAGTCCACAAAATGGTGAACCCACCAACCCTGTTCCCAATATTTCCCTGGCCCACTCCAATCTGTCTGTGATGGGGCATTCAATTTTCTTCATGGAAATATGCTTATGAATATGAATGACGTACCTGGAATATGCATATGCAAAATACTTCGCATGAGATATCATTGGAAAGATTGTAGTCTACTGAATATGATTATCCCATTTGTATGCACGTATCATTTTTGTAGACCACGTTAGGGATAATTAACTGTGTAATAGAGCTTAAACTTCCTGTGAACCTGTGGGTCACCCAAGTATGGAAACAGGGAGCCTTGCAGAGACATGACCATGTCAACGGATGCTGGGATCCATCTTGGATGCTGTATTTCCCCACAAGAGCAGAGGGAAAGTTCAGACTGAACAGAAATGATTCCCACCTTTTGCAAAACCTATTTAAGGGTGGGAGTGAGGTAATCTTGGTCATCAGTACTCCCCAGGTACCCCACCCAAAATGACTGCTGGAAACAATTAAGACTGAGCCTGGGGAGATTGGGCCCAGGCTGGAAGGATGTCTGGCCTGTGAAGATTATTAGAACAACTTTGAGGTTAAGCTATTACATGTAACGAGTTTATTTAGTGCAGGGGTGTCCAAACTTTTTTCAAAGAGGGCCAGATTTGAAGAAGTGAACATGCGTGAGGGCCGTCCCCGCGCACTCAGCCCCAAGGCAGAGGGCCCGCAGGGTCGGAGGCGGGCAGAGAGCGCAGGGCATGCCGGCCTCATGGCGGCCCGGGGGCAGGGCGAACCCACAGCCGAGCGGGGGAGCGGGGCTGCGGACATGCCCTACGGGCAGGCTCTAGGGCCGTGGAGGCCATGGGCGGCGGCGGCGCGGCTGGAAGTGGCACGCTGGGCGTGCCAGTTCAAAAGAGCGCTGGGGAGCCAGGAGAGGGGGAGGAAGCGGGGGCCGTATTAAATTGGAACACGGGCTGCAATTGGCCCGCGGGCCGGACTTTGGACATGCCTGATTTAGTGTATCAAGCTTAGCTTGCATGTTCAGTTTTATTTTCCTTACTAATTTACCTTGTTGTGTGTGCTTTCTTATGATTGCTTACATCCTACCTTTTATACTTAATAAAATCATTTTATTAATAAACCCAGTGGAAATAACTGTTATCGGGAGGTGGGGGGGGATAAGGAGCTCTCTGTACGTTGAGAAAGAGGGCAAATTTCATGAGCTGTACAGCTCTCCATATAACCGGAGATGGATTTTCTGAGTTCAGCTCCTAGAGGGGCTCTGTGCTTGAGTGCAGGGACAAGGTCTCCCACTGTGCTGCTTACTGTGTGCCCCTGCAGCCTTGGGGGTGTGGCCCTACACCTGTGCTAAAGCAGGATGGAGAGGTAGGCTCAGGAAGATAGGGTTACGAGATCCCTTCCCCAGGATGTCAGGGGAAGCAGGCTCAGTGGGGTCTAAGCACATCAGGTGATAGTCCCAAGGGGATTTAGACCTGTCACACTGTCCCAAAGCACACTAGTAGTCCAAACAGAACTGTGTTCTCTGCTGTGCAGTCCTCACACAAGGCAAGTGATTGCACCAATTCCACTGCATCTTTGCACGACTATGCTTGGCTGGATGGGGAATGCACAAGATATGTGCCCCAGCAAAGGAAAACCATGGCTTCTTGCAGGTGCTTAACATGAGATTAAACTTAAATGTTTTCTCATCCCCTTAATTGAAAAATTTCACATAATTACTTCTCATTATAATTTCCTGAATGAAAATGGGCAGAGCCATTTGCCCAGCTGTGTTAGAATGTATTATTGGCAGTAGGGATGAGATAGTGTACATGTTTAAACAGTTAACCGATAAACCTAGGCTCATCAGTTAATCTTCACAGTCACACACAAGACTCCTCCAATGATGTTGCCTCTGTATCAGAGGCAGCGGTGCAGGGTGGGGAGATGCAGCAGCTCCCACAGAGCCACCTCTCCCACACCGGCAAATGTGTAACCACTGAAAAATTCAGTGGTTACAGGTTTACCCAAAAACACCCACCTTTAACATCCTTAATTGGCAGTATAAAATGATAAAACCATGAACAAAGTGTTTTCCATTCAAAGGAAATTAGCCATTTTGCAAGGCTGTCTGACACAGTAGAATAAATTATTACCTCTCATGCCAGCCAAACTTTCCCCCAAAAGATTATTAGTTAAACTGATTACAAGTAACCAATGTAAGTACTGATTTTGATACATTGTGTAACTGGAAATAAAAAGAAGCCATTCATTTTGAAAACTTTCAGCCAGATCCTGGTCCCCATCAATACCCTGCTATAACCCACTGTTCCATCCAAATCAGAGGGAACATCAAGCATTTGTTATTCAAAAACAGCGTTAGACACATACTGCACTATTTGGTAACATCATGATACTCAAGATCGCAAAGAGAATCTGCCTTCCATGGTTCCTATCAGCTCAGTACCTTTGAATATATGGAAATGTTGCCTCTCATAACAGGTCCTCTGATACCATAGTGTGCAACACATAAAAGGCCATTACTAAGCACATTGTACCACTGTCTGCAGAATTAATGCCCTCTGCTCTCCTTCTCTGCCCTCCACCCACCCACAGAGAACTATTCCTAAGAGACAGTATTTTACATTGCTATCCCCCAAACATAATTGTCATTTCCACCATGCAAACTGTAAAGTGCTGCCCAGCTGTATTATGAAAATAGTATAACACACACCTGAGTAGGCACTGGAGAAGGTACTTGTCCACCAGGGTATCCCACTTAAAAGAGAAAGTTTTTTCTTAAAACAGTGTTATAGTGTAATGTATCATCTTATTTCATAATGTATCACTTTGCACACACAGCCTCTGGTTTTACACATGAAGTTGCCTATATTAACTCTTGCAGAACCTCCAGGAATGACTAGCAATAGCCAATAAGCCACAAAAGTGCTCCAGTGTACACGGTGGTAAGAAAACATCTGGAGTACTAAGTGATTTTACTAGTGCTGTGGAAATTAGTGAAATCTCTCCCTTCTAAATCCTGCTCCCTATGACAAAAGCTAGGAAACTCAGAGCTAGGGAACAACCTGCATTCTAAATGAGCTCTGCAGGTCACTATTAAATATATTCTAATAACTAACTGACTAGAGTGAAGAATAAATCACTTACAAATGTCTTTAATATTTAAGTGATACACTGAGAATTCTAAAAGCAAAATAAGACCAAAGTAATCTGGTTTTCCTTTAGAACTCACTGCTCCAGCCTGGCCCTGTCCACTGTGGGCCCAGGTGTATTGTAGGCAGGGGCAGCTCCAGCCCTGAGCAGCCCCGAACAGAGGTTGTTCTGTATGATCAGCAGGAGGGGAGCTGCTCCAGCCCCCACTGGTAAATGGTTAACTAGAATCGGTAAGCATTTACCAGTTAACCTTTTACATCTCTAATTCCGGTTTTCACATTTCACCAATGGTCTTCTGGATCCAGAGGCAACAGCATCCCAAACACCATAGGAAAATATTTAAACTTGAGTGTTTCGATTAATCACAGTTAACTCATGCAATTAAACTAAAAAAAATGGGATTAAAAAATGTGTATTTTGCTCACTTTATTATTTTAGTACAAATATTTGCACTGTAAAAGTGAAGAACATATTTCACCTCAAGTACTGTAGTGAAATTTCTTTATTGTGAAAGTACAACTTAGAAATGAAGATTTTTATTACATAACTGTACATGGAAACAATGTAAAAACGACAGAAATTATAAATCCACTTAGTCCTACTTATTCAGAGAGTCAGTCACTAAGACAAACAAGTATTTTCATTTATGGGAGATAATGCCCATTTTTATTTAGAATGTCCTCTTATACATTCCAGAGGACATGCTTCCATGCTGATGACACTAGTAAAAAAAAAAAATGGGTTAATTAAATTGGTGCGTGAACTTCTTGGGGAAAAACTGTATGTTGCCTGTTCTGTTTTACTCACATTTTGCCATCTCTTGCATGTTACAGCAATCTCAGATGATGACCCAGCACGTTCATTTTTAAGAATGCTTTCAGTGCAGACTTCACAACAAAATGAACAGGTACCAATATGAGATTTCTAAAGATAGCTACAGCTTTTGACTCAAGACATAATCTGAAGTACCTTCCAAAATCTGACACACAAGGTGAAAAGAGTTTTTTCCAGAAGTCTTAAAAGAGCAACACTCCAATGAAAAAACTACAGAACCTGAACCACCAGGAAAAAAAAACCCCAACACCTGGTGGCATCTGACTCCAATGATTAAATGAGCATGAGACAATCTGCCCTACTTTAAACACAACATGTCATCAGCAAGAGAACACATCCTCTGAAATGGCTGAAGAAATACGAACATGAATAGAAATACTTCAGGTAACACTGTAAATGAGAAGTGGGCAGCATTTTCCCCAGAAAATGTCAACAAACTTGTTTGTCTGAGCAACCAGCTGAACAAGTAGCAGGACTGAGTGGACTTTTAGGCACTAAAGTTTTACTGTTTAATACAGTTATTTTTGTACACAATTCTACATTTGTAAGTTCAGCTTTAGCATGAAAGAGACCGCACTACAATATTCCTATTGGATGAATTGAAAAATACTTTTTTTACAGTGCAAATATTTGTAATAAAAAATATAAAGTGAGCATTGTGCACTGTGTTTTGGTTTTTTGTAACAAATATATCTGAAATTGTAAAAAAAAATATTGAAACAGTATTCTATTATTCGTTAATAGCACCATGATTAATTGTATGATTAATGATTAATTGTTTAATCACCTGACAGCCCTAATTTAAACAGTAACAGGAAACATGCCTTTTCAGATATATCTAGTATTTCTTTAGATTTGAGTTCTTCTGTCAGTCATTCACTGGGCTTCAAAATCATCAGGTGTTGTCTGCAGCATTTAGCTGCAATAGCTAGAAACAGCAGAGGTTGCTGAGAGTATCACTTCAGTTTCTTAATCTCGAACCCTTTGGTGCAACTCATGACTTTTTTGGTATCTGCCTAGGATTCATATGCTCACACACGCGCACACACAGTCCCATTACCCACTTGGTATTTGGGCTGGTCCACCTCCTCCATAGCTTTGAGACGGAGGCTGAGGATAACCACCAAAGCCAGATCCATTAGGAGCAACACCAAACCCAGGACCTGTAGGAGCTGGAGGGAGGGGGAGGAGGAAAGTGAAAAAATAGAGGTTTGTGAATAATTTAAATTTTAGTTGATTACTTATAAAAGGAGAGTAGGATCTAGTACAATGCAACTGTAACCACAAATCTTTTGACAGACAACAGCTTAGTAATGTACACAAAGATATGAAAAGTTACTGCCATGCCTCATTATTTCAGACACCAGATTGGAATAGAAGTAGCATATAATCGTAACATTTCTGATTATCTTCATCTCCTTTCAAAATAATTTGGTGCTCCGTTTGGGTTGGATTAATTTAGGTGAAGTGTATTGAGAAGCAGATCTGTTTGTTTTCTCCTTTGAAATAATGTTAAACTTGGGAATATCCATGTATGTTTGCTTCATAAAGCTGACTGATTGATTTCTGGTAATTGTCAGACAAACAATAACACTAGTTGAGGGACAGGCTTTCTTGAGAATTTTGTTTGGTTATTCAAAACCCAATCAGTCAGAGTTTGGCTCTGGAGAGAAGCAGAGCAGAAAACAAGAATAAATAAATGTTTACCAAGACCACATGGATAATAAATACAAGACAAGCTCACAGCGGACACAGATGAGAATTATTTCTTTTTAAATGGGGAAGAGGCAGAAAAAAAGGGGTGAATAAAACACACTCAGTGTTTACAGCCTTGTTATCAAAATTAATAACATTTCTGAACCCATGGCAGCAAACAGAAAGCTCTTAATATTATACGATACGTTTATATAGGCCCTGTAATTAGAGCATAAATAATCAGTAGCAAGAGGATTATTACTTACCCACTACCTGAAACAGAAGCATAGAGACACTAAGCAATTTGACCATGATCACGCAGTTAGGCAGTGGCATAACTGGAAATGACTCCTGCTTCTTCACCAAAGGGTGGAGCTACAACATGGGCTGCATCTTAGAGCAAAGGGCCAGTTCCAGGGACAGACCACCAGAATTGATAGCTGAAAGATCTTCTGGAGTTTTCAGAACTTTAATTCTCTATTATATCTGGTTTCTATGAGGAACTTCATATACCCCGGTTTACATTAATTTTCTGGATTTTTCCCCTTCGAATTTTCTCACCTAACCATGCTAATAGCTGCTCTTTTGCTCCCTTCACAGCTCTCCTCTGTCTTTTTACTTTGAGCACATAACAGCCATACTAGGTCAGACCAAAGGTCCATCTATGCCAGTATCCCGTCTTCTAACTGTGGCCAATGGCAGGTGCCCCAGAGATAATGAACAGAACAGGTGATCCACCCTCTGACATTCATTCCCAGCTTCTGACAAACAGCTAGATAGGAACACTATCCCTGCTCAGCCTGGCTAAAGAGCCATTAATGGACCTATCCTCCATGAATTTATCTAGTTCTTTTTTGAACTCTGTTAAAAGTCCTAGTCTTCACAACAGCCTCTGGTAAGAAGTTCCACAGGTTGACTGTGCATTGTGTGAAAAAATTCTTCCTGTTGTTTTAAACCTGCTACCTATTGCACACTCTCCCCCCCACTCCATTTTCGCCCTCTACCTTCTCAACCTCATCCCTGCTGCCAACAAAACCCAGCTTGCTGATAGCGACTGGACTGGTGACAAACTCCACCTATTCCTCTTCCTACTCCCTTCCTCTAACCCCAATTAAAAACAAAACAAGCACACTCATTTGTTTGTATCCCCATTCCCTACCCTGTTGTATCTCAGACCAAGTCCTTCAGGACACCAGTTGCTTTTTTCCATGTCTCTAGAAAGTCCAACACTTAGGCGTTTGGGTGCCATCACAATTAACTACTCCACAAACCCAGCCCTGTGTACCAATCCCCCGCAATAACAACAAAAAACTACTTTTTGCGTTTTATGAACCAAACCCAGGGACTGATTATGATGAAATAACCTGTGAACAGCGTTACTGAATATTACCTCCGGGATATGATGGCATCCCCCCAGGTTGGGGAACTCCAGGGTAACCTCCAGGTGCGGGATATCCTGCAGCTCCTGGGAACCCACCAGCTGGGGGCACTGCAGGATATGCACTACCTCCCATAGGCGGGAAGCCTCCAGGAACAGCAGGATAGGGATACTGACCAGCAGGTGAATAAACAGACTCTTGTCCTGGAGGCTGAAAACAGACAACAGACAACTTATCTGCTAGACACAGAGGGGAATAAAGACATGTTCTCTAAAGCTACAAAAACATACACAACTTAATTAACAGTGAGGTCTGACTTGACACTTAGAGAAATTCAAAAATCTGCATTGTTGCTTTAACTAATTACTGAGTTTAAAAAACAGTACTGATACGGAAGCATCAAAAGGTATTCATCTTGTCACGTGTCAGCCTGATCTTTAACACTCTAATAGCAAGACAAGCAGTAAATGAATACGTCTTGAGACAAGTGTCTCAGAGGGAAGATCCTGTGAGTCAATAGCCAGAAATATGCAATCCATATAGCTCATGGTTTCGCGCGGTTCTGAGTTCTGCGCATGCGCAGATCGCTCTGCGCCGACTCTTCCGGGTTGTAATCTACTCGCCATGGGTGAGTAGATTACATTATTTGTCAAGCTCTCTCATGACAATATAAATAAAACTGGTTGTTTGTAAATCAATTCTGTGCAGGTGCTATTCCCAAACTGCTCTGCAAACACAGCCCACACATTACATACAGTTCATACTAGCTCACTTCCTGAGATTTGGTTTTATTAATAGAAATTAACAACAACAAAATTCTATTTAACACTGCTCAGGCTTGGCTGCTCCCACAATTCGTATGTCTGGATAGCTCAGCTGACATATTAGAGTCTTCATGAACAGAAGGCCATGCCTACCTCTCCTGTATTTACTTGAGGGAGTCAGGCTTATGTGAATTTTGCTTTCCCAGCAGAAGCAACACCTGCTAACGAAGTGCGGCATTCAGGAAGTCTCTTTCAGCGTGTGACATGACTTCATGGCCTATTGGGATTAGTGATGTGAATGCTTAACCAGTGGGGGGCGGAAGCAGCTCCCCGCCCGCCATGGATAGGGGGCTGCTTCAGTCCTTTGGGGTGCCAGGTGAGGATAGGGGCTGTTCCGGATGTCCAGCCCAGGCACCCCACAGGAAGGGGCTTCTAATCCATCCACAGGTTTCTAAATTTGTTTTTGATACTCTTCTGATGGACTGAAGTTTGTTTTGGAGCTTTTTGGAAATGAAGACCATATAACACTCAAGGCTACACTGTCAGTCTCAGTTTCCTAGGCTGTCATGCACTATGTTTTAAAGTCTGTACCACTACACAATGCAAAATTTTGCAGAAACTAACAGTGTGAGTGCAGAATTTCCTCTCCAGCACTGCTAAATAAGCTGCAGCAAGCTGACCACTCCTAGAGACCACGGGTCTCAGCACAGCCCAGCTTGCACATAGAAAACACTGGTGGGAGGAGGAAGAGACAGCTAGAGGTTCCTGATAGCTGCAGTTCCCAGCACATCCAGTAGAAAGGAGACAGCAACGTGCAGGAAATTTCACACAAGCCCGGAACTAAAACATCAGGCTGTTTCCCCCTATGGCTCTCTAGAGATACTCATTACCCGTGGCTCTCACTGAAATTAATGGGAACTGCAGTTCTCAGTACCTCTGAAAAATGAGACTACAGATCTACAGAGTATCAGAGTGGAACCTGAACCACACCCAGATGTGTAAACTCCATGAAAGGATGATCTAGATTCAGATATCCTTTGTGTAACAGGCTGAAACAAAACCCCAGATCAGAAGATCCTTGAACTTCCATATACATGGGGAGTGAGTTACAAAGTTTAGATTCAAATGAAAATCCAAACTACTGAATAAACACTGCTCCTATGACAAGAGGCACAGGATTATCCAGGAAAACAAAGAAAAGTCAAGAGAATGGACACGTTACCAAAAAAAAAAAAAAAAAAAATCACTACAACTGAGCCAAACTTCTCTCACCATAGCAAATAATGAAAGAGCTTTCTCTTAGGAGACCATTAAATGTTCTGAATGCACATTACTGGAATATGCTTTGTTGCTTTACCAGAGTGGTCATAATTCTTTACTGCATTAGACTATCTGCACTCAAGCTCATGAACATCTTGAGGGATGAGACCAGAGACTATAAGTCTAGAAGTAATATTCTGCATAAAAGTAATGACCAGGGCTCGACAATTAATGTAATCTACTCGCCCGTGGCGAGTAGATTTTAGCCTGGCACAGCCGCGCAACGGCTGGTAATGACTAATTACCACTTGGCGAGCCCTGGTAATGACTAATATTCCCCCAGCACATGGTACGATAGAGGAGAAAGACACAAAAGTGTGGCCTACCCTGAAAGTACAAGGCATTTAAAAAACAGACAGTACTTACGGGATATCCAGGGAAAGCAGGATAGCCTGAAGGAGGGTAGCCTGGGTAGGACATTCTGAAAGAGAACAACATTTTCAGTGACTCACTGTTGGATTTAAAGTACAGTAGCATTAGCTGTTTGTGTGCTAAGCACCCATTATCTTTCTTAGCTGTGGAAGTCAGCACTTTACTGATATGTATGAATTTTACTGGCCAGCTATTTAAAAAAAAAAAGCCTTTTTATTTCAGAACTTTTCAGACACATGAAACGGATACCAATAGAAAACCACATATCAATCACGCAACTCAGTGCCATTCTTGTTTAACAAGAGGAATACTGGGAGGAAGAGAACTGCTTCCCAGGAAAGTGTTCTATAAGGCTATGTCTACACTACAAGGTTTTTGCGCAAAAATGGCCATTTTTGTGCAAAAACCTGAGGTGTGTCCACACCTCAAGTGCATTTTTGCACAAGAAAATCTACAGTCAACAGAAGAGAGGGCTTTTTGCAGTGTAGGTACACCTCCTTCTACGAGGCATAACTCCATCTTGCGCTACAGCTCTTGCGCAAAAAGGCATGTGTGGATGCTCCACAAGTGTTTCTTGCGCAAAAATAACCTCTCTGAAAAAGCACAGGTGCTCTGATGGCCATTCTGTGAATGGCCATCAGAGCTTTCTTGGGCAAAAGCGTCCATGCAGTGCAGATGTTCTCTTGTGCAAAAGCGATATGCTTTGAGGTGTGGACGCACTTTTGTACAAGACGTTTTTGTGCAAGAACTCTTCCACAAAAGACTTCTTGAGCAAAAACCCTGCAGCGTAGACACAGCCTAAGGTGTCTGGTGAGAAGCAGAGTACTCCCACCTCTTTTTGCCCTTAACTCCTGTTAAAGTTAAGGGCGTTCTGCACCTTCCAAGATCAGAAGATAGAAAAGGAACTGTTATAAATCAGTTTCATAAATGAATACAAATATGTTTCAATATAATCTACTCCTAGCACAGAAATAAGCATCTATTTCACACACCACAGTCAGTGAGCAAAGATGACAGATCAAGTAGCAGGATACAATTTCTTAAAACACGCCACAGCATCAGTGTTTCTCACAAATTATGCGGTCTTTACTGCTGCAACTGCCAGGGCATCAGGAAAGGCAAAACAGGAGGGTTTGGTTCTTTAAATCCAAGATGATAAAAATAATGAGGATAGTTGTTCCACTTCAATTGTTGCCTAACCAAGCCAGCAAATCAGAGTTATCATCTGTGTATTTAGCTCTTGTATGTGGTATTATTCCAGTGTTTATTAACCACTTCTCAGCTACCTGCTTTCTTTAAAATAATTTACAAAACTGAACCACACCAGACTCCCACTGAAGCAAAAATGGCCATTCATAAAAACTTCTCCTAGAATGAACATGACTCACAGCTCATAATTATCATAGAATACTAGAACTGCAAGGGACCTTGACAGATCTGCAAGTCCAGTCCCCTGCCCTCACAGCAGGACCAAGCACCATCTAGATCATCCCTGATAGATGCCTGTCTAACCTACTCTTAAATATTTCCAGTGATGGAGATTCCACAACTGTTAGGAGTGTTTAACCACCCTGATAGGCAGGATGTTTTTCCTAATGTCCAACCTAAACCTCCCTTGCTGCAGTTTAAGCCCATTGCTTCTTGTCCTATCCTCAGAGGCCAAGGAGAACAAATTTCTCCCTCCTCCTGGTAAAAACCTTTTAGATACTTGAAAACCACTATCATGTCCCCTCTCTTCTCTTTTCTAAACTAAACAAGCCCAATTATTTCAGTCTTCCCTTATAGGTCATGTTTTCTAGACCTTTAATCATTTCTGTTGCTCTTCTTTGGCCCTTCTCCAATTTCTCCACACCTTCCTTGAAATGTGGTGCCCAGAACAGGACACAATACTCCAAGTGAGGCCTAATCAGTGTAGAGTAGAGCAGAAGAATGACTTCTTGTGTCTTGCTCACAACACTCCTGTTAATACATACCAGGGTAGGAATGGGGGAGAGAGCATCTTGGAGGCCAGTGTCTAGGCACTGGTGGGGGGTTATTCCTGATGCAAAGGAAATGAGTTGGGAGGGAGGCAAAGGATGATGACCCTCAAAGTGGGCAAACTTGGAGAAGTGGTGGGTTTGTGTGTACAGATGCAATGCAAAATAACACGTGACTACTTAACATTAATTACCATAATGAATATAAAAATAAATTAATTGCCATAATATGCAAATGTTTCTATACCCATCCACCACAAGTTTTTGAATGAGTTTGCCAGCGCGCAGTATAAACGTGGTTGGGAACCTCCATTCTACAGTACACCACTTAAATCCTGCAATTAGCAAGGAGAGTATTTACAGATCCAGTAGCTCCATCCAGTACCTTGCACAATCTGCATGGAAGGGCTGGAGCTACTATTTCAGCTTAGAAACCAGAGCAGCAGCAACCCCTGGTTCTGGATTGAGGGAATCAATTTAACCTCTGCATTTTACCTGAATAGAAACTGAACATGTAGATTGTACGAAGGTGGGGTGACTTTCACCCCTACGTTTTCAATATACAACATTCTATAGTAGTGGTTCCCAACAGTACTGCAGGGATCTGTGGCAAGTTTAAAAATAAAGATCAGGCCCACTATGGTTGGCCCAATCCTTACTTTTCCTCCCCCTCTCCCCCGCCTTCTACAAGGAGGGGGAGGGTCCATGAAACGTTAATAGATTGAAAAGGAGTCCATATGCTAAAAGAGGTTGGGAAGCATTGTTCTATAGAAACCAACGGCCCATCTAGCCAGTATCTCATCTCCTGACTGGCCAGCAGCAGGTGCCTCAGAGGGGGTGAGCAGAACAGTTCATCAATTGATCCAACTCCTGTCACCCATCCACAGCTTCTGGCAAAGAGAAGGGCATGTAACTTGCTCATACGACCCCGGACTCCCATCTTGCACCATACTTTTCCACAAACCAAGGCTGACAGCATCCTTTCCACATGGGGAAAAAGTAAAAAGAACCTTTGAAGCATCTCCATTTTACCTCTTTCCTGCTCTGATCTCTGGACTATAGACTTACCCTAGCCAAAGACCCAAGGACCTTCCGATCTTTTGGAAGTTACTAGAGACATTACAAGTTTGCAGTTTGTTTACTCTAGGATTTCCAGGTTTCTGGTTTTGAAGGGAACAGCTGATTGAAAACATGGTTGTAAAATCCTGATTAATCATTTAACAGGTTAAATCTAAGGGGCAGGCAAGAAGCAGCTCCTGCCCCTATCAGTTAACCAAAACCAGTAAGCCTTACCTATTAAAGTTAAAGTTTAACTGGTTAACTTTTTATATCCCTAAATCATTACCAAATAAAAATTACTAACACTGAAAAACAAATATTTTTAGCTTGTCTAGTTTGCTTAATTCCATTAATAAATTATAGCCTTAACTAGTAAGCTTGCCACTCAAGGGAAACTAGAGGAAGTTTATGAAACCAAGGTATAGTTCCCTTAACATAAGTTTTAAAATACCAGATATTAAATGCATTATATAGATCTGAGCTATATCACAGTTTGGCTGTACTGCAAAATCAACTGTTGAAGGATCTGGTTGCAATACTTGTTTCCCCAAAACAAATAAAACAGACCAGTTTATCAAGTTGTCAAAATCTCTGATTAGCAAATTAACTGCCAGTTCACGCTTGTGACCTCTGTAACACTGCCAACATATGCAAATAAAGCTGCCTCTCCTTAGCTTGTTTAAACTCCCTCCCATGTGTCTATTTATTCACCTGTTGTGTAATGTGTAAATTGTTTACTGCAAGCTTTCTGGGGCAGGGACTGTGTCTTATAACAATTCTCATGAGGCCCTAACCACTATTTTGGTGTCTTTAGGCAACACCTACCACAAATACAAAAAAAGTGTTTGTGTTTCTTGGCCTGCTTTTTTAATTTTTATTTGAAAATAATTATTTAAAAGTTATTCAAATGGTTTGCATGGACACCACAGTTCAATAATACCTCCCATATTACAACTAGACTGGCATACACAACTCTCCAATCTGGTTCAATCCTCAACCATGGCTCAAATACTGTTGTAAACAGTTTTCAAAAATTAACCTGGCAATAACATTTACTGAAATAGCTTTCAGTATGTGCAGATATTTTTCAGAAGAGAAACTGAATCACTTGCATAATATTGCACTACGTACTTATTAAACAATAGCCAGCTGCATGAACACAGCACATGAACTGACTTATCTCTTGCATGCCTTAGAATAGCATTTCTCAGTCTTTTTGATACCAGGGACCATCTTCTTGCTGCCTTCCTAAATAGTATAAGGGAGATCTCACAGACCAGTCCACTGGTTTAGAGTATCCCAAAGCAACACTGAGACTTCACCCTTTGTTAAGGGAGTTTTTATTACAAAACTGATTCAGTCAACAGAAGCCTTTTTTAAGAATGTAGCTTAAGTTTCAGGATTTTTTCTTAACAGTTTGTGAAGCATGAAAGCATTTTCGTTGAAGCATTATTCAAATATTCTTATAATCCACCCTGAGACACAGGTCAGCAAATAATATTGACCACTGGAGTTTCAAAACTCTAGAATTATGGATCATGATTTTCTTTTTTTCTGTTCAAAAAAGTAAAATTGCCTTTTAAGTGTTAAGAAAAACTTATGTTTATTACACCATGAATGAGTTAGTTGGAAGACAGACACAAACAAGTGCTTGAAAAAAATATACTGTACTAGAGAATAAATAGGCAAGTTTTCCTGATAAAAGGAGTCTAAATCATCTTTCAGTTTCAATACATTTCTACCCTCACAACAGCAAGGACAATGTTTGAAATGGGAACCAAATGTAAACAAATGCAGTGCTGTCTTCTCTAGTCTGCAAGCCACTCTACAGTCAGCCTCCCCTTTTGGTCATAACCTCTGGAAGAAGCAGAGAAACAAGACTGATAAGAGGGGGTAACTATTATTACCCTGGACAACTATGAAAAGGACAAGAATTGTGTTAGTTTCACAATGGCCCGGTTTGGAAAAAAATATGAGCAGCAGGGCAGGTGCTAGAGCTATTGGCACTGGATTCCAACAGCGGTCCTCCCTCGCTCCTGGTCTTTGCTAAGGGCCTAGGACTAGTACAAATATTGTACTATGTACCACTGAGAGCTCTCAATTGCCTCCTTCCTAGAAAGTGTAATCCAAAAGCCACTCTAGAACTTTAGTTTTCAATTTGTTTGTTAGCCACCCTCTGTCTGCAATTTCTGCAGCCCCCAAAGTTTTCCTCCTTTGCAAAAGCAGCAGGAAAGAGATGTGGACAGTAAAGCAAAAACATTAAAAATCTAATAGAAAGAGCAATACAAAGTTGTAGCTGATCCATTTTATTGGGTGAACTTGAAAATAAAAGGGCAAATTTAAGACTACCTACCAGTCTTAACTTGGTCGTAGGAAAATACACAAAGGATTAAGAGGAACATAAGAGCATCAACACATTATTTCAGCTCCTAATTATGCAAGCAGACAAGTCCGAGAAGAGCTTTGCGGACGGAAGCCAAGTGTGAAAGGGGTTTGCAGAGTAAGCACGAAGACGCGGTCTCTCCGGCTTCTACAGAGCTAATCTCAGCACGGGAACGATTTACGCGTCTCTGCGCCAGGAATCCAGCCAGGAGACCGAGCTCGGCTCGAGGGCAGCGCGCCCCGTGATCGCCGCGGGGCTCTCCGGAGCTCGGGAACAAGCCGGAGTCTCGTTTTCCAGGCGGGCGCTAGGAAGGGCAGGGGGAGGCGGAG